GGGGGGGGGGGGGGCGGCTAAGGACTCAGCCCTCACAGCTAATTGCTCATTAAAAAGCGTTAATGAGCTTCCCTCTGCCCCATCCCTGCACAGACCAGCCAGGCTTCTCTCTCTGTGGCTGGGGAGAAGCCGGACTCTCTCTTCCCAACCAGCCCCTCTTTGGCCTCTTCCTGTGGTCAAGTCCTGGGCAGGATCCCAGTGGGTCTAGCTCTAACCTTGTTCAGCCAGCAGGTTCTGGGGTCTCTGAGCAACCAGTGTCCCTCCTCCTGCTTGGAGTGACCTCCTGCCATCAGCCACCCCCACCCCACCTCACCCCACAATCCCCGGCACTTACAGCTTCTCCAGCAGGGACAGTCCCAGGAAAGATCCGTTGCGAAGCGCGGTGATCTTGTTGTTACTTAAGAGCCTGAGGGACAGGAGAAGGTGCCATTAGTGTGTAGCCCTGTTGCATTCCGCATAAATGGCACTCCCTGGAGTTTTGCAAGGGAGCAGCCCACGTTCCACTCCAGGAGCGCGTGGGGAGAAGCCGGTTGATAGTCCAGGCTCAGTCAGCTGGCTGAGCCCAGAGTCAGACCTTCCACCTGCCCTAAACCTCTGCAGACCAGATCTGCCATGGGGCTCCATGTGCAGGTGAGCTGGGTGAGGGTGGTGGTGTGATGTCTCCTTTCCACTCTGGGGCCCCAGGACTGACCCCCCAGAGCTCCTTTCATGTCCTTACTCAACCCCAAGGCCCCATATCCTGAAGACAGCGGTGGGAAGACTGGCCTGAACGAGATTAGGGATGCGGGTCCAGGGAGAAGCAGAGGTCCAGCTGGTGTGGAGGCAGGTGGGAGTGGCCTATTCTTGGGGTCTCCAACATTCTCACCTATGAACTGAGGACCTCACCAGAAGGTGACCACTCCCAGCCCTCACAGGCCCCAACTCAGAGGGCCTGAGGGCCCAGTGGCTGCATCCTTGTCTCTCAAGCCTGTCTGCAGCCTTGGCAAAAAACTGACAGCTCCTTGGTCTAGGGGAAGCCCAGGCCTCAGTCTCAGCCTTTGCCCCCTCAGAGTTCTGTTTATTTATTCGTTTGTATTTAGTGGGGAGGAAAGAGGCCCCAACAGACTAAGAGACGGAATGTCTCATCTCCGCCCACCCACTCAGCCTTTCTCTGCCAAGCTCCCTGCTGGGAGGAGGAGTTCCAGACCAGCCAAAGGGCTCATCCCCCAGTTAATTGCTTATTAGAAAGCTTTAATGAGCCTCTCAGCCCAAGCTCTTGCCTGCCCTGGGTGGAGGCAAAGGATTTCCCTTCTTTTTGCTGCTCTTACTGATAAAGAAGTGACCTGGGAAGGCCAGAGGTGGAGGCCTCAGGCCTCCTCTTGAGTGGCCAGCCTTGAGGCTGGGCAGGAAGGAGAGGGAAGGGGGTAGGGACAAGGCCCAAGAGGAGCTGGCCAAGAGATGTGCCCCAAAGCTTCCTGGAAGTAGGTGGGTGAATATGCCAGGATAGGCAGTTCAGGAATCCCAGGTGTCTAGTCTTGGATGGTCAAGAGGCTTGAGGAAAACAGACAGTGCCAGGATGGAAGCAAGAGTGAAAGGGGGGTTTTCTGGGTCAACAGGAAGTGGTAGAGACCTCATCTCCTTCCTCCTGTCTCCCCCCTCCAGATGCCCCCCTCCAGATGTTCCAGTCCCTGCCTAATGGTCCCAGTAGGGTGTGAAGGGTGAGGGGGGATAGCTGGGTCTCCCAAATGTCCCCTCCCCCACACGTGTACACTATCTTGATAATTCAAAATGTACATCACAGTGGTCATTTTATGAAATAGAGTTTTGTTTTTTTTTTTTTTTGAGTTGGAGTCTCACTCTGTCACCCAGACTGGAGTGCAGTGGCCGCTCCCGGCCACCACAGCCTCGGCCTGCTGGGCTCCAGCGATCCTTCCGCCTCAGCCTTCCGAGTAGCCGGAATTACAGGCATGCGCTACCACGCCCGGCTGATTTTTTGATTTATTGTAGAGATGAGGTCTCACTGCCCAGGTGGGTCTCGAACCCACGGGCTCAGGCAATCCACTCACCTCAGCCTCCCAAAGGCGCAGGATTACAGGCTGAGCCACCGAGCCCGGCGAAATAGAGTTTTTATGAACTCCTTTATTCTCATGGATAAGGATACTTTTATTTGCACATAGGGTGGTGGCAGTGGTAAAACATAATCTTGTCAGTTCTTAGAGCCTCTGAAGGTCAGGGCCTGGTGGGGCTGAGGTTTGCCCTCTGTGGTGACACTCTTGGTGGTGTGAATGACCTGTCTCTTAGACTAAAGCCCACCTCATTTCACTCCCAATTCATACCCTTCATAATCCCAGAGTTTGCATTCAATGTCAAGAAGGCGAGAGGATCCCTCTGTCTCCTTGAGGATGGCAGGGAAGGTCTCGAATGTCAGGTGGAGAAAGGACATTCCCTCCAGCCTCCTCAACCCAAGGGCTTCTCCAGGGACTGTCCTCCTGGGTGGAGGGTGAGGGAAGAGGACAGGGAAGTTACTGGGGTAGGGAGCACTGAGGAGGAGGGGGTTACGGAAGGACAGAGGAACAGAGCTCCCAGGTTTTCACAGCCTCTACCACAAAGGAGAAAGCCCCAGAACATGATTTCTCAAACTTCAGTAGTATACAGACCTGTTGTAGGGCAAAGCAAACAGTGTCTGATTTCCTGGGAGTATGCCTCAGGATTCCCACTTGAGAAACACTGGCTTTAAAAATATTACACCATGAAGATGCTTTCTAATCAACAATTATCTGCAAAAGATTTTTTTGTTGTTGTTGAATCAGAGTCCTACTCGCTCAGGCTGGAGTGCAGTGGCATGCTCACGGCCACCGCAGTCTCCACCTACTGGGCTCAGGCGATCAGCCTTAGCCTTCCAAGTAGCTGGAACTACGGACACACGCCACGTCTGGCTAATTTTTTGATTTATTTAGAGACAGTTCTCACCAAGTTGCCCAGGCTGGTATTGAATCCCTGGGCTCAGGCAATCCTCTTGCCTCAGCCTCCCCAAGTGCTGGGATTACAGGCTTGAGCCACTGTGCCCAGCCTACAAAAGATTTTTAATAAAAGATTTTTTTAATTTTACTTTTTTTGAGACAGGATCTTGCTCTGTGGTCCAGGCTGAAGTGCAGTGGAGCGATCATAGCTCACTGCAGCCTCAAACTCATGTGCTCAAGCGATCCTTCTACCTCAGCCTCTCAAAGTGCTGGGATTGAAAACAGAATATTAAAAATGTCTCCAATTCCCAAATCTCCAGAATTAGAGCCTAAGATCCCCTTTGTGATCCCTGTCCAGAGAGAACCAGAAGGGGTATTGATTATGGTAGGGAGGTTTCTCTACATTTTCCAGAAACTTCAGCCTTCTACCCTTGAACCCCTTTCAAATTCATTAACTCAGAGCCGGCCAATAGAAATACAGTGTGAGTACCTTTGTCATTTTAAATGTTCTAGAAGCCATATTTTTAAAAGTTTAAAATTCATTTTAATAGTACATTTTATTGAACCCAATGTAACCAAAATGTTATCACTGCAATATGTAATCAATATACAAAATTATTAATGAGATACTTTCCTTTTTATTTTTGTACAACACTTAGAAATGTGGCACATATTCTACATGGCCGGCACATCTCACTTCAGACCAGCCGCGTTCCAAGAGCACCCGTGCCTGTGTCAGGGTGGAAGCACCGGGAAAGGAAAGCCCCAGAGGAGAGGTAGGATGAGCCTGCAGCCCAGAACAACTTATTTCTGGGACGGGTTAAAGGCCAATCCCCAGCCACATCCCACCCCAGGTCACCTTGCCAGCACCCGGACCTGGTGGGGGCTCCCTCTCTCTCCCTTTCTCTCTCAATCTCTGTCTCTGTCTTCCTCTCTCACTCCTTTTCTCTCCCCCTGTCCCTCTCTCTCTCTCTCTCTGTCTCCCTTTCCTTCTCTCCTTCCCTCCCTCTCTTCCTCTTTCTCCAGCCCTCTTCCCTTCCCTCTCTCTTTCTCCCTCCCTCTTTCCCTTACTCCCCTTCCTTCTGCCTCTCTCTCTCTCTCCCTGTATCCCTCCCTCCCTCCCTCTGCCTCTGTCTCCCTCTCTGAGGCAGCCTCTGTGTGTGCTGGGAGGCAAGGACAGAGCAGGAGTGGGGCGTCAGCTTCTGCCCATGCTTCGGGCTTGGCTAGCCCGGCACCAACTCCAGCCCTGACCAAATGAGATCTTGCTGCAGAGAATGTGGCCCTGTAGTCCCACCCTCTGACCTACTGGCAGATGCAGGCACCAAGCAAATGCCTTGTCATACTTCTCCTCCAATATGTCCCCTCTTGCCCCATTTCCAGCTCTTGGAGATGTCAGACAGATGGCCATGTGATTTGAGTCCCCAAATACCCAACACTGGATCTTTTGGCCTCAAGAACCTGGAGAGGTCTGAGGAAATTGGCTTTAGACCTGGATTTGCCAGAAAGTGGCCTCCATTGTTGTCCTGATTGGTTCTGCTCTCCCAGGGGCCCCTTGTGGGTCTGTCTGGGGATGGGGGGTCAGGCAGTGGTTCTAGAGAGAGAGTGCACAGTTCTGCTGTTTTATGGGCGGGCAGAAAGCTGGTGGCCACAACACTGCCAAGAGGGAGATGAAAACAACGCACACACAGCTTCATCCAAAGGGTAGAAAAATGTTCCCACCACTCTAGGATGTCTCCTGGGAGGAAGGCAGGCAGGGCAGCCACAACTAGGCAGGGAAGGAGGGGGCCTCAGCCCACAGGTCCCTCTAGCACAGACACAGGATCAGCCCTGGCCGTCCTCAAAGCCCCTAGCTGCTTCCTCAGCCGGCAGCATCCTCTGGCCCTACAATTTCAGGGGCCAGCCAGGTGAGTTTCCGGCCAACCACACTAGATCCCTGATGGCCTTGTCACCAGCAACTCTAGCTTCTTTCTTCCCTTCCTCCCTCCCTGTTCTCTAATCTCCAAAGTCAAGCTTTTCACAGGAAGAAGGACCAGTCCCTGGAGTCGCCTGTTCTCTACTCCAGAGTTTGAAATCTGGCCAGGGGCAGGGGGCACATGGAGTGTGATCCCATTCCAGAACTCTCTCTCGGCTGGGGCCCTATTTTAGGGGAGAGAAGCAAGTACAGTCACCACTAATGAGGTTGGAGGCCTAGGCAGCGAGTGGCTGGCGTCTACAGAGAAGCCCTGCGGCCTCTGGGCAGCCACAGGAACTCACCAGATGCCACCCGGACATCAAAGATGACCCTGTGGGAGTCACGTGGGCACTGCTCCGTGGGGCGTGGAGACAGCACATGCCTGAACTAAGCGGTTCTCATGTGTGCAGGAAGAGTCATATGTGTCAGCCTACCCTGCCCAAACACAGATGCAACGACCTCATCTCTGAGGACCTCAGCTCCCCAGGGAATCTGATGCTGGAGGTTCAGTGGACTCAGGCCTACCAGGTTTCTAGAGT